CCTATCTCCGTCGCAATCGTCGCCGTGTCCGCACTGTCAGCTGGTAACACCAGTCTGCGTGCCTTCTGCTTCGGCCGGCTGTATGGCTCGCACAGCGGCCGCGGTCGAATGGGAGCAGAGGGTTCTTGATGCTGCTCCTCTTCAGACTCTTCCCTCCATCGCCGCTTCCGCGGCACTCGTGCTGCAGGAGTGTGTCTCCCTTCGTCCCTCCGCCTCGATGGGGTAGAAGTCGGTGACTCCTCTGCATCAGTGTCGACCTCATTCTCCCGCACATACTTCCCGGGATGGTCGATGGACAATGGCGGAAAATGTTCAAGCTCCGCCGCTGTCAAACAATTCCGCTGTCGATAAAAATTGATGAGGAAAGGAGAAAGATGGTTTAGAGTTCCCCCCTTCTCCTCAAACGCGTGCTGTCGCATCACCCTGTGCAGGATACTCGCCCAGTGAATTGGAGTTCCCTCGATGACGCACTCCACGAAAGAGACCTGCCACAATGTGATGTAGCAGGCGCGGTGCGGCTGCAGTAATTGCATCAGCGCCGCGGACAAAGTCCGGCGAAATCGATCCTTGTAATCACGGGTCCTGTACCCATTCTTGGTAGACCTCCCGGTCTTGAACAGCTCCACAAATTGCGCCTCTTCCTGCTTGGTCACCTTGATGCTCTCACTGTCGAAAAGGAGATGCCCTGGCATGCCAGCACATCTTCCCAACGCCTGCGCCCAATCTTGGACTGTCCACCGGTCAACATGCGGACGCAATCCGCGCGAGGGTGATCCCTGTGGCTCTAGCCACTCGCGCACCATATTCGCACAGATGTAGTTCCATCCCCATAGCAAGAAATCGAGCTTTCTTGCTATTAAGCGCTCCTCAAAAGCGCGCAGCCCGTTCTGCGGTAGGCGAAGTGGCACCATCCGCAATCTGCTTGGTCTCGTCATTGCGTTCCTAGGGTTCGCTCGCCCGCTCATTCTACTTCCGCACCGCCCGAGCTTCTTTCTCTCGCGGCAAACTCTAATCGCCCTCAATTCCAAATCACGCGCATTCACTTCTCCCTCAATCAACAAGAAATCTCCTGTGCGGCGACGTCGAGAATGTTCCGCAGCCAGCAGATGGATGCGCGCAGCGCGCACAAGAGATTGGAATCGCGAATTCAAGAATGGGACGTTCTCCGCCGCCCGGTCGAAGGTCATGGTCGGCTCTTGCTCGTGAAGAACGTCTCACTTGATGGCCGCGCCGGCTGTACGCTGGAACGGTCTTCGCTCTCACGCGCGGCTTCACGCTCCGCCGTCGTCGATTAAACTCTCACGCTCGAATTGGCGGATTTGAACTCCGCGAGCGTATTACCCCGCGGACATGCGGGCGTAGCGCCGAAGGCGAGTTTTTCGCCTTGCGCGGTACACTTGTTCGTACCGCCCCTCGGCCAATCCCCCTCTGCCTTGACGCGTGTGTCCGCATGTCGGACAAAAGTTCATCTCCTGCCTGTGCGCAGGCAGAGCCTCGGCGGATGCTCCGCCGGCGCGGAACTTGAACATCGTCCTGTGCACAGGCGTTCGCCTGTGCGCAGGCGAATTTCGTGCGCGGCGTCGCGCTGGCGCGGAAGGCGTTGACCGTGGACAGCCGTCTCCGTCCAGACTGTCCGTTCCTTGTCTCTTCGTCGGCGCTTCCGCCGCCGCAGCTCCGTCCGTCCAAGAGCGCATCCACCCGTGCCGTCCACATGGTCCGTACCGATTTGATTACTCTGGCGGCTCTTCCGACGTACGCGGCGCTGCGCTGGCGCGGAAGGCGCCGTACACTTTCTACCTCACAAGGCGCATTTCTAGGGCCCAAGGCGGATTTTCCGCCGACGCCGAAGCGCCTGTGCATAGGCGGCCTTCGCGCCTCCCCTAACCCTACTTCGCCTGTGCACAGGCGAACGCCTTCGCCCGCGCATAGGACAAAACTTGATTCCCTCTTCCGCGTAGGCGGAATTCGCGCCGGTGGCGAACTCTTTCCGCCGTAGTCGACCGCCTCCGTTTCTTCCAATAGTGATAACTCCCTAAGTCCTCATCCGTTCCAAGCGTTCTTGGACTCGTTGGAATCAGTGCGTCGAGCTCTTTCCAACGGGACCCTAAATTGGTCAAGGCGCCCGAGGGATGAACTAATTATGGAGGGTTTCCCTACAGCCGCGGACGCATCCTCCGAAGGCGGGTTTTGCGCCTTGCGTCGTAGGGGTCCTAACTACAGAACTCGCAGAGAGGGTGGTGCCTGTCCTTACTGCTGCACCCCAAATCCCAGATTCCACAAGATCCCTCGAGAATCCCCGCGATCTTCCGGATTCACTCTGTTTTGATGTACCGAAGGCTATTTACAATGCTGCCAGGGTACAGTTTTCCAAAAATGTTTTAATTTCCTCAAAATTGCCAAAAGTGGGGTACCACAGACTCGCACTAAAGTTCACACCAGCAAGCTACTAGCTAGAGTGGACCAGGAGTTGAGGGAATTGAAGGAGAAGCATGAATGCTTGTGGGGTCAGTATAAACTCAATCAGAAATTCTACAAGTACTCCGAGAAGGTGAGGGATGGGAAACTGGAAGAGCTCACCAAGGAGCAGGTGAAGGTCACAGAAGCACTAATTTCTGAGCAGGCCCAGAATCGGATTTTGTCAGAGGAGCTCGTGCGACAGACGCGGTTGTTAGAACAGTGTCAGCTCGCACGACAGGCGGATGAGGATGTAATCCGCAGGCTACAGTCAGAGTGTGGCGAATTGAGAGCGCAACGTGCTAAGGCCGAATCGCAATTAGTGGTAATTGAAGAGGATCGCAGGAAGGAGGCAGATCGCACAAAGGTGGAGACGGCGAGGCGTGTTGCCCACTGTCTCAAGGGCTACGCCCACTGGGAAGTGGCGGCGCAGGAGAAACTCACACTGCGTGAGTTTGAACTTCGCGCGGCCGGGTTGTTGTCAGGCGACAGCAGGAGTCGGCGGAAGGTAGCAAAGAAGCTCGACGCTTTTCTGTCAAAGGCGCGGGATACCATGTCCGCCCTCGAAGTGGAGGTGTCCGCAGCGTTGCAACGATTGGGACTGCGCAGTCGAGCGGAAGACTGGCAGGGTAGGGAGTTAGTGCGCGGCAGTCCGTCGCGCAGGAGACGTAGCACAGGTTCTGCGGAGTGTAGTGTAGCGTGGTTCCGTGCAGGCGTGTAGCGTAGTGCAGTGTAGTGCTAGTTAGGACTTAGAAGGTATAAAATAGTTCCAGGCGTTTTGCCTGGGGTTCTTTCCCATCAGAAGTGCAGATCAGGAACCCATTTCCTTTGCGTGTTTGTGTCCTTGAGCTCTGTCACCACGCACGAGGAGTTACAACTTAGCGTTCCGCATTTTGTAGCTGAAGGCCTGCGGCCGAATGTTCAGAGCTAGTACATTGGTTAGAGACTTGAGTAGTTCGGATCTGCACCTGCGGGTGACTGCCGATGCTCAGAGCCTGTGACTAGTTAGATACTTGAACAGTTTCGCCCCTACACCTTCGAGTGTTCCTTTCTGATTGTACTCCCTTGGAATTTTTCCCCTGAATGCCAAAGTGAAGTTTTGCTACTTCGTGTAAGCCTTGGTTGTAAATTCAGGTTACGCTGCAGCAGGTGCCTTGAGGGTAACCCCTGTAGTATTTCTTGGAATGACAAGTGCCTGAGAATTCAAACTCTTCAATAGACTGTTATTGTGTTACTGGAATGTTTCTCAGTGAGTCCTTCAGTGCGGACCTGTGTTCTCTGCGCGTTTTGTGAGTTGAGAGTGTTGTTCACTGCGTCTGAGTGACTTCGATCCGAAGTAGGCAGTCCAAACCGGGTTTCCTACGCTAGCAGCAAGCTAGCGGAAGTGTTGTAAAAGCCGGAGTTGGGAGTCACTACCCGCAGCTTCGCTGAGTGTACTCTCGAGAGACTTTCCCCCCCTGAAATCTTGAGTAGAGGTCCTAACGGATCTCTGGGTTGTGTTTCTGTAGTTTCAGGTGTGTGTGTGTGTGTGTGTTACGCTGCACTGTGCGACCTCCGAGTGCGCTCCGAGTGGACACTTGCAGTATTTCTGGGAGTGACAGTTGCCTGAGAATTCAAACTCCTCAATAGTCTGTTAAAACGTGACACTTTGTACCCTGTGTGTTCCTCTGTCCATGTGGGTTCGACCTTTCTACCACTATATTGCAGTTTTAGCCTTTAGTGGGTTATTACAGTAGCAACAACTTGCGTGAGTTAGTGTTGTTGGCATAAAGGTATTTCAGATTCCTCCAGCACTCATCTGGTTCTGTGACGTTGGAGATGTAAGGGATGACGTTATCTCTCACTGAGAGTGAGATCATTGTCAAGGCCTTGTTCTTCTGTAGCTGCAGCGCTGCAATCTCAGCGGGAGTCGTCGGTGCTACTGTACCTGCAGGTGGGTCAACAAGTCTCCATGTATCTTCTCTGCTAAGCATGTTCCTCATTTTAAAACTCCAAACACTATAGTTAAGGTTTCCTTCCAACTTGGAGGAATCTCCCATGGAAACATCTCTAGAAGCCATGCTAGCTTGTTCGACTCTTACACCTCCTGGACCTGCTTCTATTGTCTAAACACTAGCTCGTTTCTGCTTCTGAACTGTCGACAGATGTTACAAGACTTCGAGAAAGTAGACTAACAGCTGAGTGTGAGAACCCGCTCTGATACCATGTAGAGACTCGAGGTTCAGTCAGACCGACTAAGACAGATAATATTTCAGGTTTGGCCTTGGCCATTTATACAAGACAGAAGGTCGAATCTAACCCTAACCCTAATCTCACTATAATCGCTAGCTAACATACTCATAAGAGCGTAGTGGACGGCAGTGCCCAAAAACGACACTTCATAGTTTACCTGTGCTGATAGATCTCTTACTTTCATTCCAGGTGTCACTGTGACCTATTGTTATCACCAACAATAGAAGCTTTGGTTCTAATCGGCTTACTGTTAAACGTGAGCATGCTGCAAACGCACGCTATAGAAGTAAAGTGACAGCTGCACTCCCACTCACCATTTCGAGTTCAACTGGAGGTCAATCCGTTGGATGTGCGGTAGATTTTCGGACCTCGGACAATCGTTAGTGTGAGCGTGTAGTTTCCAAATGCACGAGATTGGTCCTTGAAATATCTGCACCAAGGACGAACGGAAGACGTGAGAGGAAATTTCAGTAGCGGAAGTGACAACACACGAATGCGTCTTCGACTGAGGAAAAGCTTACACAGGCAACGAGTTGAGGAAGAATGAGGTAGAAACATCACAGCACGTTGTGATTCAGTTCGTAGAATTACTCGAAATCTCGCAAATTCGCTGCTCGCTACGCAGTTAACGTTGCTGACGGGATGTTGGATTCGAAAAAAAGAGAACAACCATCTGACATACTTAGAGAATATGAGAAAGATAAGATTGGAAACGATACTTTTCCAACTAACAAATGGGGTAGAGCGATTTTCCACAAGGACTGTTTCCAAGCAAAACCACAATCACCTGTATGAGTTGAAGAAGCCTCAGAGCTTCAGTACAGGTCTCACAGTGAATTGTTACTCTTAGATGAGGTGTGAGCTTAAGAAAGACGTCCAGATATCCGTCCGACAATATATAGCTTCAGTGGCTTCAAATTTGCTGCACGCAGGTCAGAATCGAACGATAATCAAGAGATAGATCTCTACTCCCTGGGTTACAAAATACATGCCAACTGGTTATCCACTCTAAATCATTCACAATGCGTTGTACCACCATACTGAACCCGAACGCAACGAAAACTTTTCTTTCAATCTTTCACATGAGATTCCGAACTGAAATTCAATGATAAAATCTCGTACATGAACTCAGTGCAAGTATCGATCTGTCCATAACCAGCTGTGTGGAGATTTCAGGAACGATATGCAAGTCATATATATAATGTCTCCAGAATGAAAGTTCGAAGCCACCATATTCATGTTCTTTACGGGACTGAGACTCTCTCTGCTTTCCGAAACTTTCGGTTGATCTCTGGCCTCAGATATCAAGAGTCTCATAATAGCTCTCGCCTTTACTCAAGGATGTGAAGTGGTAAATTCAGGAGAAGGAGCTGATATCTGTCCCGATGTAAATAGGACCAGTTTCTCCATTGTTATCTGAATAATGCTCCGTCGTAATGTGCTTTCGTTATTGGTACAAATTGTAATTATTTGTGCATGCTACTTTGGGGACATAAGATAAACCAGATGAAACTGAAGCATCTTTCGGTATTATCAATTTACCAATTTATCCATTTAGTCCATAAATCGTTGTGTGGTTCCGTAAAAGGACTGCCTTGAAAGCCAACAGTATCAAAAAAGTTCACCTAAAAACAGAAACTCGTTTTCCATAAAAAAAAAACTGATGCTTTCCACCTTCGTATATATAATGATATGTTTGTCGTGCTTTCCAAGTAGTGGACAACCTCAGGATGTCGCCTCTAGAAATCAAAACCTTGGGGACCACCACTAGAAGGGGTCAAAGGTAAGAAAAGTGAGTCGAGGGTGATTTAATACACATGGTCAATAGTAGTTTGTGTATGCAATGGATCTTGCCGCTTCCAATGCAGTGACTATTTCCGCTAAGACAATTATGGATGTTGGGAGAATCTATATATCTCCAGTATGACTTTGGGCTTTCTTACCAAAGTGTCGCGTGCCCTTCATGTCGGTTTGTGTCCATGCGATGCAATGCCTACATCGTTGGCTGGCAAATATCGCATCCCATTATTTATTTTACAGAAGGGGGTGGACGAAAGTGACTACAAATATTCGCTGATTCGTTGTGGATTCGGGAATATCATAATGCTGGAGCGGCAGATTGCAAGCGACAGGACACATGTTCTCAGAATCTCAGGGAACTGATAAGCATGCGATTGGGCTTGGATCCGCAGGTGCATTCAAACTTCGTCAGAGGGAGCTTACTGCAGGAATTGATATACGGAGGACATAGGGAAGCATGGATTCAACAAGCGCCCTGCGCGTTCGCTTTCAATTCAGGTGAATAAGGCCGCCATGAAAGTCTCTGCTCTAAAGAATTCTGAAAGATATGGAAAGGATTCTATAATGTGCTCACAAGTTTCGGGAACATGGAGCCGAGGAGGCTGTGGCAAGTTCTCCTAGATTCTAGAGGTTCGTTTATCGCTTCGTAGATCTCCTGGAACTCGGGTGCTCATTTTGGTATTTGTGACGCCCAACCGCATTTGATGATCCGCAACCCATCACGACGTCTGAAGTTTGAGTTCACATCGCCTTCACAATGTGCACAATACTTTCCCACGTCGTGCTCGGCAGTTTGAACTGTATAAACCTGGTACCGAGAAACTTCATGCGCACACAACACCAGACCAGGACCTGTAATGCAGTTGGCGTTCTTTTTTATTCCTCTTCCCGCCCTGGTGTCTGAAATAAGGTCTGCAGATGAACCCCTTCACAGAACAATTTGGAATTGTTCGGTAGGCGACTGCGGCCTGGTCAGCTTTATCATCCCTAAAATATGTTCTTAAATACTGGATACAATGGTTTGCTCAGGTCAAGACCTGAGATGCCAAATCCGCAACCAAAAAAAACTGCAGAGGACGAGACAAATTGAGATTCTTGGGTTCAGACACAGACAATTGAGCCAGGACTGAAGATTGCAATGACAACATGGAACTCGCAACAAACGCGGAGAAACAAAGAGAACTACGAATTGGTAGCAAACGCACAAACTAGTGACATACAATTACTAATGAAGGTCTCTGTAGAGGAGGGTCATGAAACGAGAAAACAAATACAGCTAGTGACTCATTCTTTGCATAAAAAAGTTGGTCAAAATGCGGGTCAATAAATACGCCAATCCCTATAACGGAATATGAAATGTAATTCTCCAGGGACTTGGACCGACTTCTTTCATGTAGAAATCTCCTTTCGTCTCAGCTTATCGAAGACGCTGTCCTTGACATATGAGTAATTATTTATTCGGGAATCTTTGGGAATTAGTAAGGCCTTACGTGAACATTAAAGCCCATGATTATCTCCAGCCCAAGTGGTTCAAGGGTCGATGCACTCTTCTCGCAAAAATTAGTCTCGGCCTCAAAGCTCCATTGAAGCTGTGTCGTGAAAATATTGTAAGTTACTACTTTGGGCATGAATTCCGCCTGGAGACTTTTTTTGACGAAAAGTTCACTTTCTTCTTTTCTGTACGGCTTGAGGAATCTTCCCAACTTTTTCCGATACTCTTGGCTCCTCATTTCAATCTGACGATTTTATATCGTATGTGCATATGGGCGTATGCCACGAAAGTCCACGGCGAGGCAGATCTCTCTCCCATCCAATCGCTGATATTCTTCATGAAACGAATGCCTCACGTCGCTGAGATCAGCAGAGGGTTGAGGATCGGTACTACGTCAAATGTGCGTTCGTTCTCCATCTCTTGCAGTCGAGAAAGATTCCTGAACGTCTGACCTCCACAACAACATAATTGAGTCCGTTCGCTCGTGAAGGCAACCACAAAACGCCAAAAAGGTGGCAATCAAAAGCCGTGGGGAAAAGTGCATGCAAAATAGATTTTGATTTTCATCCTTGAGAATTATTCTTATCCAGAGAATCGCAGTTGGTAAATGGTCTTAAAAAACTGGGCTACTAGAAGAATAAATTGTTGTTCTTGATTGGTTTCTAAGGTATTATGCTTTGAGTTTGGATAGCTGGAGTTAACAACGAATAATTGAACTTCTCCATTTTAGATTACGTGTGATGGGTTTTAAATATCCATATGTGCGAAAAGTAAGCATGGTATTAGATACTCAAGAAATTCACTAAGTGGATGAATTGAATTAAGAATCTGGTAATGAAGAATTTACAAATTCATCAACTTTCAAAGATTACCATGTTGATAAGATGTCTACATTTATTTTTTTGAAGCTGTCATATACAAAGATTTTGAAAAGAATCAAAATATCATTCATTTACTTAAAAAATATAAGATTCAATAGTGAACAAATTGAGGATATAAATTCCTTTCAAAAAAGTGATTTTTTATAATTTTCTATGACTCAATTCATAATCAATCTATGTTTATATCAATGTCAAAATTTATCAATAAAAAAAAATTTTCAAATGAATTTTCAACGAATAATTTAATTTTTAATCCAAATTGATTTTATAAGTTTTTATAAAAAAATAATAATTATATAAATTATGAAATATACATTGGATTCAATGTAGATCAATAACTTAGCAAAATAAATTTTCAATTACTTTTCATTTCATAATTTTAGCTTTTATACTTGTTGCATTAAATCAAACTATATATGTTTTTGTTATTATAATATAAAATAGAATCATATAATTCATGTTTCATGACTTTTTATTCATATTAAATATGAATAAAAAATTACATTTGTGACTCTCGATTATAACTTGTCTTTCAAATATTAATTGACGTTATTTTTTAAGTTTCATACGAATTTAAAATGGTTCCAAATTTAGTTAAAATCAAAATGGACTTACTTTGTCATTAAAATTGACATGAAATTAAGGTACAGTTTTGACAATTTGTTAAATTTCTTGTGTTTGAATAGATTTTGATAATTAAAAAATTTATCCAAATTTACTGACCTTGAAAATAAATTAAAGAATTCTTTGTGAAATATTGAATTGAACCGAATTTGACCAAAAGAATTTTATGATTACAAATTTGTTAAAAAAAATTATATTTCAAATTAAACTTTGAAAACTTTGAAAATTTATCGACTAGATTATAGAAATATCAATATCAAAGGTTTTCTATATATATATATATATATATATATATATAAAGTAAAATATTCACATAAACTCACATCTTGAACACTTTGGAGTGATTATTTTCCGAGCAACATAAATAGTAAAAAACTGAACTTAATCTCTTCTCATTTATATTATGGCTGAGAATAATTATCCAATCAATAACTTAATCCAAAATGAAGACAAAACGTTTATTATAAATTGCTTATATCATGATAAAAACCCAATCCCGAAAATGAACAAGCGAACTGGACCGAAAACGCAAGCATCTACGAGTAGAGAGATCTTGTGTTGCAGATATCTGTAAGTGCCGTTTATTCAAGAAAGTTCGCGTATCCAGAAAGAATGAATGCAAGAGACGTGTTCAACTTGGACCATTCCGCGGACATACGGTCCAACTACTTTACCAGCAGTTCAAATACTGTCGACTCGCTTCCCAAACAAAAAGTTCCGCTTTTGGGAATCAGAGTGGCCCCACAAGCCCTACGAACTATCCCCGAGATGCTGCAGTGACTATCAATGGATTCTTTGGCCTGCTTCGTCGATTTCAAAGGTGAACGGAATGCGCCGTAATGCCAAGGAGAAACTTAAAGGCCCTCGGGTTGTCTCAGAAGGACTGTTCTAAGAATGCGCTCGGCCCCGCTAGCTCTGAGGCCAGTTCCCCGAACATTCTTCGAGTGCTTCATAAAAAACGTTCATTATCCGTGCACTAATCGCAGATGACATTGCTGTACCGATTGCACGACAAATCGTAAATCTGCTTCTTGCTTTGTTTTCCGGCATCGGCACCTTTATACCAGCTGCTGCACGAGTTGATACATCCTGAAAGTTATGCTTGAGTTGTGTGCTCACGCTGGGTAGCTCTGAGGCCAGTTCCTGGAGCACTCCTTGGGTGTCTCGTCGAAGCGTTCAGCATCCGTGCAGTAGTCGTAGATCACGTAATTGTACTGGATGCGCTTCAAGTCGTCGATCTGTTTGTTCGTCAGCTTCCCGGCATCGGCACCTCCATACCAGCTGCTGTACAGCTTGTTGTAACATCTGTGCGAGTCATCCTTGTCGTTGCCTTCGCTGTGAACTGCGCACGAATCCACGTCAAAGTCCTTGTACGACGCGATGAATGGCTGCAGAGACCAGTCGGTCTTGTCTGCTCCCCCGCGAGTTGCCCATTGTTCTCCGTTCCAGATGCTGGAGTAGACGTACATGGGCTGGTACTCCAGGTATGGGATTCCCAGATCCTTGCTGTTGTGAAACACTCGGATGACCACGTCATCGACCATAAATCTGCAACGCGAGCACGTGGAAGATTTGAGTGACTTGATGCAGATGAAAATGGAGCCTAGAATTCTACACTTGGTATGTGAGATGCACGGATCATTCAGAGAATAAGACAGGATCGAACTCGTTGTCCGCGAAATCCGCCTCTGGTCTCCCATTGAGCCGAATTCATACATTAGCAATCGTACTGGACTACTGCTGAGAAGAAGAGAAAGCGTCTCCAGGATGCTTACAAGATCAGATTCTGGTTCCACAAAATGCCGTAGTAGTGGTAGTCTTCAGTGGGATCGAACCAGAGGTAGATGCGCTGCTCTCGGTCACCTTTGCCCTCGGCGAAAACATTCGTTTGAAGGATGTATGGTTCTCCACTGACGTTTCCGAGAAACTCGAAGTCCAACTCACACCATTTCTCAAACACCGAGGCAAGCTGCAAGCCCGCACCGGACAATGTGGTGATGAGACGCGTTATGCTCCGAATGGAGAAGACGATCAAAATTTCACAAAACTTCAAAACAAGACGAGAACAAACTGTAATTGCTTCTGACACAAACACCTTTCTGCCAATGATGATGAGTACTGGTTTGTTAGAAAGGCCGATTTCAATCTGGACGTATGTACTTACGTAGTATGAAGTGACCGTACCAGCCGAATTGCCACCGACTAGTTTCAATTTCATGCCAATGTGACCGTAAAGAAACGGGTATTTGGATCTAAACCCAGATCCTGTCAAGCACCATGATGGCAGCGTATTAGTTCGAGATTATCAACAGAAAGGATTTCACATCATGAATAGATTTTCTATCCAAGTTCTGGAGTTGCTTCCAGTGTCCAGGAGCAAAGCAGTTGTAAGGGTGGAGATTACCACTAGTGTTGTCAAGACCAAGGTTCACCACGATGTTCCCATTGTCAGCATTATCGTTGCGGTAGTTGACATTCCAGTCACCAAAGTTGACGTAGAAGTCATCCCAAAATTTTGAGGCTTGGGCCACAGAGATGACTAAAGTAGTGCAAAGCAACAGCACTATTTTCATCTTCACCCTCTCCATCACCTTCACTTCAGCTCTCTAGACTTGCTTGCTATGTCCGGAGGAAGCTCAGCGAAAAATAGCCCTTCAAAATTGAAGGAAAGAATTGTGCAATCCTGTAACAGCCCTCTCTTCCCTCTTTCACAATGGTCAAAGATCAGAATGGCTCAAGTGATGTCTTCGTTGATTCTGGAGTTCTTTTATATGGGATGAAGCATGTTTGACCATACATACTTGCCCTCGATCCACGCCGCTTTGTGTTGTGCAAGTCGTGCGTAGCCAGGTGACAAGTATGGTTCTGGAGTGCTTGTTGTACACATGGATCGATCGGACCCGTACACATCCATCGATCACACATGTTAATGTCATCAAGCGTATGCGAAGTGACCACAATGGGCGTATAAACCGACAAGTTGGGCTAAACTGTTGTAGAATGTGATACAAGCGCGAAGGGTGATACTACTTGGGGCTAGCGAGTGGTTAGCCGTGTACCCCTTGAGGGGTTTCTCCATCCTTTGTGGCTTGCTAAGAATGAAAGCACGAATAATTGACTGCAAGCATATATAAACACATATGTCGGCCCGTCATCTAGCACGAGCAATGATTGGAACAGTACGTCCTCTTTGTCCGTCTGACCTGAGTTCAATATCTGATCGTTCCTGTTTCAGTACGCGCTCAGAGTGAATGAAAAATAATGGATTCTTGCAGACCCCAAGAGATTCCGGCTCTTCAAGGTATCCAAGTACAATAATGGCAAGTTTGAGAGTTGTCACTGATATGAGAATCGAGACGGTGAGAATCGGAGGATCGATCTTCTTTAATACACCATTTTGACATTTCGCATCATATCTTCCATGTACTCCTGTCCTGAAAGCGCATTTCTTCTTGCAACCAACTTCTTGCATACGTGCTGAATGTCCAAATAGGGGAAAAGATTGAAGCTTGGCAGTCGCTCTCAAGGGAAAACAAAATGACGACATACTGAAACAAACATCAAGAAAATGAACAGCGATCGACTGCGCACCGATATGCCAAAAGCAAAAGAGTTGTGAAACATCATAGAGAGCAGGAGCCCGCAACAGGAGCATAAAAGATGGGTCTACTCGGACGACAGAAACACGGAGACGGGCCACAACCTTAGTAGTAAAGGTTCTTTTCGGCGTTAAAGGGACCGCGTGACAGCAGACAGCGGAGAGAGTGTGTCCTTCAAGCACACCTCGGCTGAGAGTAGTAGAGGCCATTTTTTGAGCTAAAAATAAGCCTTCGGATTTGTGAAGCTAAGTGAAAAATTCATTTGAATCCCTTGTGTCTTCAGGTAAATCTTAGACCTTCAGTTCTTGATGAGCAACCCAAAGGGATGAATGTGGTCGTAGAGAAAGGAGCCTAGCTCTAATTTGGATCTGAATGTAAGTTTTCCTTTGATATTTCAGAGGATTTCAAAGAGAGGGTATCAGAGTAACAAGTGTCGATTTCAGCATACGTCCGTGAGAAAACCAAGCAAGCCAGGCGTAAGGCGGAAGAGGATGGTGCAGCACAGGCTCTCCCATGGAAGATAACGAAGACGATGTTCAAGTTCAGATCAGATCTTCCGACGACAGACGACATGAATGGTTCGTTGTGAGAGAACGATCGAAGGTCTTCTTCCGTGAGCACAGGTAGAATCTGTTCGCTCTGTCGTCCCGCGTGAATCGTTCATGGACGAAAAGATGCCACGGTTGAGGGCAGAGCCTGCGGGAGCTATCAAGGCTCCGGACTGCTCATCCATGTCCAGCGTGGTCTTGTCCAGGCCATAAATGGCTGGAGAGGCCAGCCAATCTGGGACCGCCTGGCTCGTGTATTCCCCATTCCAGATGCCTGCATAGTCGCTCGCGGCCAGATTCTAGAATGGAGGATAACAAGTGTCGGAGGAAGGAGATATCTTTACCTCGGTTTCTTATAACAGGAGCAGCCAGATATACTTGTTGGATCCATAGTCAGAGCTCTATAATCAGTCCTCTCATTTGATTATTTCAAGCTCTAGGCTTTTCAGATAAATACAACACGATGAAGTTATGGTTGATACAACTCCCAGCCGGATGAATCTGTAGATAACAGAGGTAATATGCTGTTTCAATCAGAGAATAATGTGGGGAAGGTGGGAGAGTCTTTATATATCTATCGGTGTTGGGTGATTCCACGTGGATTGGTCCGCTCAGGTATCATGAAACAGATCCACAGACAAATTGTTGATCATTAAAAGGAATTTTTGAAAAGCAAAGACTACTTTGCTGCAGATTTGAACCACACGATAAACGTGTATTATCAATGTCCACAAAGACTTGAGGAATATCCTTCTTCTGCAGTAGTGGACTTCTAAAATCTCCTGTCGACATATTTCTTCACGCAGCGCAAGTCGGGGTGAGCCCCGATCGAGGAAAGGAATGGGAAAACTTGGGAGCTGGATTATAAAATTAGTTACCCAATACAGCCATGCATGTGCTTCTCAGGTGTTGCGCAGGTCTCAACGTCATACTTGTCATCGGAAAATGCGAAACAGCCTGACATTCACTTCCAAGCATGCACAATATAAATTTGCAGGAATGAGGGCCCAATTGTGCACGGGGCAACACAAACAGCGCTTCAATCGGACGCAGCGTGAAAGCTCTCATCTGTCGCATCGTCTCGGAGTTTATTTAATTGGTGATGCGGAATGGGTTTCTCCATATCGACGTGTATGTTTAGTTTACTTTAGTTTTGTTCAGTTTACACAGATACCAGCTGAGTAATCAGAGATTTGCGCAAGGGCCTAACTCTTCAGGATCTAAGATCTTTCTTGGCTTTACGAAGAAAGGATTGAAGTGTCTTACGGACGCGAACAACAAGGACTATCTAGGAAAATGGAATATATATATCCACAACGCTGGAGTTACCATCTTATGCTTCGTTGTAATCGACAGGATGCTGTGCAGTTGATGGAGAAGGTGATTCAGAAATTTCTTATAATCATCTAGTCCATTCCTTCCTCCATGCTGCTTATGGATCGTGAGATCCGTCCTTCATCAGAGCATCATTGGATCAGACCTCAGTGCGTGTTCGTATGACTATCTAGAAACTAGACTGTAACAAATGTAGTACAAGCTAAATTTTGATGACATTAGACTAGTCGACACTGCCAAAATAAATTGGCATTTCTTCACTTTGCATTTAGCAGAAATCTTGAGCTCAAATATGACCGGAAGGCTTATCATCTGTGAAGTATATATGGACGGTACACAAAGCAGCCACATTGTTACTGGTTATGAGCCTGATTCCTTATCCTTTCCAGGGTTTTCCTGTTTAAAACCCCGTATTTTGAACGTATCCATGCGTTCATCCCTCTGGACTATTTCTGTTCCGGCGAAATAAAAACGTAGAAAGATATTCAAGTTGCCAAGGTCGAATGTGCATTGAAAGAAAAACGGCGGTGACGCCAGACAAGTTCATGTCTTAGACGTCTCCGAGTGGACTTGTATTGAGAAAAAATTTCGGTTCCGCTACACCCAGCATTTCAAAAATGAGTGAATGTACTAGTGGAACCGAGCTACGTTCAGATTACTTAACAGCTAAACTATAAGGGAGACCGCTGAGCATTTAACTGCTCATTCTATTTGACCAGAGCACAATCTTGAGGAGTGGCTGCCGAAAGAAATGGTCCGTTTCTAAGGAGCGAATGAACGCACATCCAAAAAATCGATGAAACCTATGCTACAAGATTGTTGCACTGATTTCAGTAGCTTTCTTTCAAAGCTTAGAAGTTCACTGAATGCGTCTAATCATATATGACGATACTCAAGGCGAATTTTATCCTGCAGTTGTGTGCTCACGCTGGGTAGCTCTGAGGCCAGTTCCTGGAGCACTCCTTGGGTGTCTCGTCGAAGCGTTCAGCATCCGTGCAGTAGTCGTAGATCACGTAATTGTACTGGATGCGCTTCAAGTCGTCGATCTGTTTGTTCGTCAGCTTCCCGGCATCGGCACCTCCATACCAGCTGCTGTACAGCTTGTTGTAACATCTGTGCGAGTCATCCTTGTCGTTGCCTTCGCTGTGAACTGCGCACGAATCCACGTCAAAGTCCTTGTACGACGCGATGAATGGCTGCAGAGACCAGTCTGTCTTGTCTGCTCCCCCGCGAGTTGCCCATTGTTCTCCGTTCCAGATGCTGGAGTAGACGTACATGGGCTGGTACTCCAGGTATGGAATTCCCAGATCCTTGCTGTTGTGAAACACTCGGATGACCACGTCGTCGACCATAAATCTGCAACGCGAGCACGTGGAAGATTTGAGTGACTTGATGCAGATGAAAAAGGAGCCTAGAATTCTACATTTGGTATGTGAGATGCACCGATCATTCAGAGAATAAGACAGGATCGAACTCGTTGTCCGCGAAATCCGCCTCTGGTCTCCCATTGAGCGGAATTCATACGTTAGCAATCGTACTGGACTACTGCCGAGAAGAAGAGAAAGCGTCTCCGGCAATCTTACAAGATCAGATTCTGGTTCCATAAAATGCCGTAGTAGTGGTAGTCTTCAGTGGGATCGAACCAGAGGTAGATGCGCTGCTCTCGGTCACCTTTGCCCTCGGCGAAAACATTCGTTTGCAGGATGTATGGTTCTCCACTGACGTTTCCGAGAAACTCGAAGTCCAACTCACACCATTTTTCGAACACCGAGGCAAGCTGCAGGCCACGACCAATGATATGATGATGGTCATATTCATACAAAACACAAGACAAGGCATCACTCCTCACGGGATACAAAACTTAGAGCCATATCTTGATGTGTCCAGTTAAGTCTGTGATCGCAGGATGCACATAGTTCATGCTAAGTTCAGATTTTTCTTCTTTTTATTCTTCTAATATCTGTTTTGATTTCTGTACTTACATAGTATGACGTGACGGTACCAGCCGAGTTTCCACCCACTAGCTTCAGCTTCATGCCGATATGACCGTAAAGGAATGGGTACTTGGATCTGAATCCAGATCCTGTCAAGCACACCATTACAGTACATTAGTCTTAAAAAACACAAAACACCGACAATCTGATGCAAAGAATTTGGGAGGCTAAGGAGCATATAATAATTTTGTATTTGCTTCCTATCATAAATGGCAAGCATATGAAAGGTTGGAGTTTACCACTCGTGTTGTCAAGTCCAAGGTTCACCACTATATTCCCACTATCAGCATCAGCGGTGCGGTAGTCCACGTTCCAGTCACCAAAGTTGACGTAGAAATCATCCCAAAACTTAGAGGCTTGAACTTCGGAGACGAACAAAGTTACTGCAGTCGAAAGGAATACAAGCATCACCGTGGCAATCTTCATCTTCTTCATCACCTCCAGTCGCCGATTTGGATTCTAGAGAAAACTTGGCTTGCTTGCTATATCGATGCAATGTTCACCAAAAGTCTGGCTGTCTCTAATTCAACAATCATGGAATGCGTAATTCTGTGACAACCCTTTCTTCTCTCTGATGGTCAGGGAGAGGCAGAGTTCAGGTAGTATCTTAGTTGCCTTTGAAGCGCTTTTATATCGTATGAAGCAGAAGGAGTCAGCAGGGGAATGATTAGACATGGCTATATGGCTCTAATGGATGGCGCTTTGAGATGTGCAGTCGTGGGCAGCAAGAATGTCTGGATAGTACTGGAGTACTTGATCGTACTCATGGATCAGTAAGACACGTTCCCGCATATGGAATCCGTAAGATCATACTGGTGAGAAGATGCACAGCAAACAAACAGTACCCATGTGTCACAACAAAAGGGCAGATGGCCGCAGCTGAAGCATAAATACGGGCACAGATATAGATCATCTGGGAATCAGAGAGACCTACAGTTCGAAACACTCGGCGTGTTTCGAAGAAGTGTGCTTGCTACTGTAAGCAAGGATTTCTCTGAAGGGTTTCCTCACGGGCGCATCTGACATGTGAGATGGACAGGGTGGAATTTGTCCATAGGGAACCTATACGTCTCTTCCAAGCTCAACTTCAATAAAAAATCACGTCATCTTTTTAGCTCAGATAGCATAATAACTCTCTATGCTTATAGAGAGCGCACGACAAGTTGATTCAGCTTCTTATAATCAAGCGCCTGAAATGAAGGATTGGGACCATATTCAACAGCCAAAAAGGACAAAACGAAATAGGTAAGATTTGATGGATGATTTCTCTTCTCTTTCGGAGGAGTCCGACATATAAAGAAATTTTTGGCATGTTCTCAACAGATTTTCCAAAGCACATTATGTGCATCCATCGTAGTTGAACTTGAAAGATTTTCAGGTTCCAAATCGGGACGAACTGGACGAATAGGGACAGGAATTAGGAAGCAAGTGGAAAATATGAATGTGCTAGACCTCCTTTCATAAAGTTCAAGTTGATGTAAACAGATCACTCATTATGTCTGCAATCAGTTTCACAATAAGCTTCACAAAAAAAATAGTTGTTGTTCCATACGTTGTAATGTCATCGAGTCCATGCCAGAAGGAAGGAATAGCGTCACCGGGATGACAGAACATCCGTACCAAGACAAGCCCGAAATTAGTGAGAGGCATCAAGGAAAACAGTCAACATGGAGAACAAACCATGGTTTATGCACCAGAAGTTGAAGACGGGAGGTGACTTATCATAGGGACCACCATGTATATTTAGAAAAAAGGACAGTACGAGGGCAGAGAGAAATGGAAGGGAAGAAAAATTCCTTTGAGCCTCAAGACCAACTACATTTGTGGAAACATGCAGATGGGACAGCTAATGAGTTGTACACACACAGACGAGATCCAAAACAGAATCAAACTTATATATGTCCCCGTTCGAAAGCACATGATCTTGTCAGCACATTTTTCTATTTCGGTTTCTGCAAGACGTCGTATCTACTGCTGTGTTTACTCCTTAGATCCCAAATTCTCTATGACGAAGGAGTATGTTGGACTACTGAGCACAGAGGTTTTAAATCTTGTTAAGCACCATACTAAGTACATTATAAATTTACACATAGATATAGATATAGTGTTAGAGATCGTCAAGGCGTCCTTACTGCCGTTTAACCGATTGTTTCATTCCTTGTGACCGACCATACAGTTGGAAAATTCAGGTCTGGATTTGGCCGGATATACAAGCAGCTTGCAGCTCATATACAGCGCTCTGTTGTAAACATGTTGAACTCTTCATCAAAAGCTCCAAAATTGCAAGGACTGAGAAAGAAATGAGTGGTACAAATGAGGAAAAATTCTGTATCATAAACATGTTGACAAAAATCTGTAGGTACATTAAGTTCTTCTACAATCCATATAGCTATTTCCTGTGGTACTTTAGGTGAAAATTTTATCTGCTATAAAGGTTGTGTGTTGATTTTGACATACCTTGGACTTCCAATCCTTTTACGCATACCATATGATCAGAAAATTACAATCCGTTTGAAGCTTTTTATCGATTTCAATAAATTATTGGAACAATTTTCTAGCGTAAGTTTTGATAGAATTCGATTCCAAGAAACAGTTTTTCAGTTTATTTTCAAATAGGGTCTGGTCTGTTGATAAGTATATCACATAAATGCGCATTCTATTTTATATATAGGAAACTTCATTTGAAACACCCCATAGATTGAAGTGCTAGATGAATTTGAGGTATATATTCTGACTTTGATTGACTGGAAGGCGTTAAAGGGGTCTTCATGGTTTGATGAAAAATAATTCACAATATATATCTAATATTAACTTTAATAATAAAAGCTTTTATGAACACGTCTTGATTTTGTACTAATAACTTGAAAAAGTGAAATTTTACGATTTTCTCACTTTTTTTACGATTATTAAGAAAGTTTCGTAGGGTTTCCCACTTTCCTGTAGACCTGAAATTGATGTAAACTTAGCCTTTACATATTGTTGTCAGAACTTGTATATTGTTCTCATACGGTAGTTCCGTGATGGTGAAAAGTAGTCAAAAACTAAATAATATTGTGACATAGTTAGCAGGTTCACATAACAATATAGATATAGAAAATTTTTTTTAGAAAAGAAAAAGAATTTTCTATATATTCGCAAAAAAATTTAACTCTTTCGAGCTCTTTGATAGATTTTTCATTCTGTACAACTGTCAATAAAATACATATTTTCTTCCAATCAGCTATTTCCAATCTATATGAGAAGCACATGAAGTGCTCTAGCGAAGGAAATGAATTGTTTTTAAAAAAAAATATGTTAGCCATTACAATACCAAAATCGCACTAGTTTACTCTGAACATTAGAGAATAAAGGATAAATGTCAGTTTAGTATTCTTTACTAAACATTAGACATCACAAACAGAAAATCAAGATGAATAAGAGAAACACATTGCCTACTCTGAAGTATAATATAGTTTAATACAATACTATAACTAGGATCTACTATCTTAGCATTGAATTTCACACAAGTTTACTTTATATGGTTTGTCAGAATTCATCATAATTTTACAAAAGAAATAATTCTCCATTTGCCCCTATCACAAAAAATCCTCTGCTCATCACTCAAATCTTATCATTCATAGGTGGCTAAAAAATTAATATAACTCAAATTTATATCGATGAAAAAAGTTCTCATACAATGAAATCTCCAAACTTGGTGAGGAGTCGCTTCTTAACTCCCTATTTATACTACTTGAAAAATTATCGTAGTAACAAATGATAAGTATCATTTAAGTTATTGACAAAGATAATCTAGGTATATTTGATTAATTTTCAATATGTGGTTTCATATCATTGGTCTATCTTAAACTTCTAGAGTCTTTCTTGTCCCTAGATTGAGGTGATTATATAATATTTGAGAATATTAAAGTTCTAGAATCTTCATTTCTCACTAAATCAAATTAAGATGTAATTTAACCAATGAAAAGTTTTTTACCTAGTCACACCAATCAAAACTAATCATGTAATCCAAATTCTTTTCTCTTAAAATTTAGACTTTTGTGAGATGCAAAAATAATTATATTCACTCATATCTTACTCTTAATTATTCCATCATTTCATCATCATCATTTCAAAATTTTTTTTAATTAGTCACACCAATTAAAACTAATCATGTAATCAAAATTCTTTTCTCTTGAAATCTAGATTTTCGTGAAATACAAAAATAATTGTATTCGCTCATATCTTACTCTTAATTATTCCATCATTTATAAAAATTATAACTAGAACTATTATTCCAACATCAAAGTATTGATTATAATGTTTGTATATAACACAATGTTAATATCAATTGAACGTAACATAAGCATGTAATAACCCACCAAAGGCTAAAACTGCAGTAAGGTGGTTAAAAGATCGAACCCACAAGGACAGAGGCAACACACAGAGTACAAAGTGTCACGTTTAACAGACTTTTGGAGAGTTTGAATTCTCAAGCGACTATCACTCCCAGAAATACTGCAGTGCTCGACTCGGAGGCCGCTCGGAGGATGCTCAACTCGGAGGTCACTCGGAGGATGCTCGACTCGGAGGATGCTCGGAGGATGCACAGTGCAGCGTAAGTCGCTCAACACACACACACCTGAAACTGGAAAAGCACAACTCGGAGGTCGGTCAGGACCTCCGCTTAGGATTTCAGGGGGAAAATCTCTCAAGGGTACACTCAGAGGCTCTGCAGGTAGTGACTCCCACTCCGGCTTTTACAACCCTCCCGCTAGTTTCTGCTAGCGTAGGGAACCCGGTTTGG